CTCTCTCTCTCTCTCTCTCTCTCTCTCCACCCCAGATATGCTCATGTAGGCGGGATCCCCAGCTGCCAAGAAGCCCCCAGTGCAAGCTGCAGATGAATGGAGGAAAAAGACCTGGAGTCCAGGACTGAGGGAGGGATGAGCAGGGCTAGGGCAGGGCTACAGAGGGTGGGAAGGCCTGCCTCACAATCTCCTGACCCCTCACAATCACCAGGACCGGCTGGGTGAGTGCCACCCCTTGCCCTGTGACGGTGCTAAGTCTGCCCACCCAGATCTTCCGAGACCACATCCAGAGCCCCCTCCAGAAACAGGTATCTGGTGACCCCAACCCCACCAGTCCATGGAGGGCAAGAAGAGAAAGGGACGGGAGCAGCAAAACCCAGATTCTTTCCTGAGGTCCAATTAACCACAGCCAGCGTCACTCGCTGGCCTGCATGGGACAGCCTGCAGCTGCCACTGGCCCTGAGTCCCTCACACACAGACCCCAGTCAGATGGCCCTTCCAAAGGCCCAACACCACAAGACAAGTGGGACCCAGAGAAGCAGCCTAGAATCTGAGAGATAACTGGATGCAGAGTTGAAGGCCTGCTGTGAGTCCTCCCTCTGTGACGTCCATGCTGTGTGTATAAGTCCTCCTCACCTCTGAGTCTGTTTCCCCCACTGCAGAATGGCACAAGTGAACCAGGCCATCTCTAAGACCCCAGCTCTGAGCCCAAGATTCTAAGACCCAGGCAGCACCTGTGGGCAACCCTTCTATCGCACCAGCCCTGCCCATGGTCTCCCCCAACCAGTCCCCCAACTCCATCTGCACCCTAAGAATGCAGCTCTTCCCACTTTGGAGGCTGTAGCCACCAGAGGATTCTCCAGGACAGGTCCCAAGAGGTGCAGCAGGGTGGCATGAATAGAGAAAAAACAGCAGGCCACAGGCAAACTTCAAAGGCCCAAGAAAACCAGGGAACTGAGGTGCGGGAGGGGACAACAAGCAGGGCCCATCTCTGCTCATGCCACCCCTTTCCTAGGGAGCTGTGTGTTTCCTGTGGTTTCAGACACAAACTGCTCTGAGGAGATCCACCTCAGTCCCTCTCTGGTCCTCAGGTCCCAGGGGTCCTGACTCACCCACCCAAGGGACACCTGAGCCACCTCCAGGCTACGCAGTCACTGCGTCTATTGCAGACCAGCAGAGTCCCAGCTCTGCCTCCAACCAGGCACATGCAAGCAGAGCGTCTTGCGTCCCAGACCCCTGCCCAAGCTGTGGGAAGAATCTGCCAGCTCAAGTGCTTCACAGGAGTTACCTCATTTAATCCTCCCAGTAACCCCATGAGAGAGGTGCAGCATCTCATTTTCCAGATGAAGAAAACCAGGCTTGAAAGGGTTAAGTACCTCACTGAGAAGATCTAGGACCTAAGATTCGAGCTGCCTTGACTTCTTTCCACATCACTAACATCTGAGCACTTGGCTTTGCCACACCCACACCTTGAAGAGATAGCAGGTGCCTTAACTCTAGTTTATTCAAAACCTAGTGTTAAACTGGGTGTGGTGGCACAGGTCTGCACTCCAGCACTCTGGGAGGCTGAGCAAAAGGACTGAAAGATTGGGCCCAGCCTGGGCAACTTAACAACTTAGGGAGACCCTGTCTCAAAATAAAAAATAAAAAAGGACTGAGGATATAGCTCAGGGTGAAGGCCCTGGATTCAATACCCAGAACTGATGAAAAAGAAAGTAACAAACAGTGTCAAGCGTGGCTCTATGGCTTCAGCTCTGTGCCACCGTCCCGGCCTTTCCAGAAATCTGTTTTGGTCAGTGGCCCTCATTCTTCTAGCTCCTCCACATCTGTTTCCTCCCTGGCTGGTCCCTCCTCCTCAGTCTCCTCCTTTCCAGCTTCCTTCTGCCACAAACACATTCTCAGTCTCCCCCATCCTTTCATTTATTTATGTTTTAAATTCTCCCATCCTTCAAAAAGCTGCATTTTCTGTCAACTTGTCGCTGGCCTTCCCTTGGTGTTATAGGCTGAATCATGACTCCCCAGAATCATTCCTGGGAATGTGGAAGCCCTCACCCAGGACCTGGCCACATGTCCTTGTTAGGACATCATTATGAGGCCATTGAGTAAAGATGAGTCTGTCAGGGTGAGCCTTCAGCCCACAGGATTGGTGGTCTTATAAAAATAAGAAATGCTGACAGCCAGGAGCCCAGAGCACACAGAAGGGGCCCCAGGAAGAGGCAGCAAGAAGGAGGCCATCCACAGCTGGCCCAGAGAAGACCAGTCCACTATCGCCAGGTCTTGAGCTTTAGCCTCCTAATGATGAGAAATGCACCTCTGCTTTGAAGCCCCTTGGTGTGTTTTGTTATGCAGCAGGGCGAGCGCACCAACGCACATAGTAACCAGCCCCTAGCTCAGGAGTTCATGCTCAGAGCCACACCCTCCTTTCTTTCCCTCGGCCCACCCTCACCTCCCAGCCACTGACACTTCTTTTGTTCTAGAAGATGTGTCCTTCTCCACACCCCAGGGTGGCCCCTTCACCTGGCCCTCCCCCCTACTCCCACCTCCAGATGCGCTGGGCTCAGCTGGCAGTTTTGTCCTCCACCTTCCTTCCTTTCTCAGGTTCTATCAAGATCTTGACTTCAGCCCTCTTCTCCAGGCAAGATCCGCAAGCTTTCTAGCCTGACTGTGTTGACTGTGTCTTTGGGGGATGGGAGGGGGGTTGTTCTGGAGACTGAATCCAGGTTCTTCACATGGAGCTACATCCCTAGCTCTCTTTTAATTTTTTTATTTTCAGACAGTGCCTTGCTAAGTTGCTAAATTGTCCAGGCTGGGCTTGAATTTGTGATTCTCTTGCTTCGGGTTCACAGAACAGACAAAGGCCACCACGCCCAGCCCAGGCCAGACTTTTCTGCCAAAGCCAGCTCAGGAAATCCAACTGTTGGCCAGACATCTGCCAATGGACTTCTGAACTAAATCCAATGTGTGAAACTGAACTCCCCCTTTCCTTCCCATGTCCAGTCAGGGCCTGATCTCCCTCTCTGTATGCATCTCACCCTCTCTCTCACAGGAACCCCACTGGACACCCAACACTTAGCCTCCTTACACACTACCAGGCCGAATCTGACCTCTGCCATGCCATTTCTCTCTTCACCCTCCTCCTATTTCTAGTATCCATCCTTCCATCTGGAGATAATTCTGCATCACTCAAAAGCTCCTTCCTCCCCAGCATCTGTGTTGCCAACCCATCCCTGGCTGCTGTCCACCCCAATATCCTGAACCATGGGTCTCATCATGGGAGCTGTTGCCTCCATGTCCTCCAGAAGCTTTAGCTGCTGCTCCCCTCTCTGCCTCTTGCCAGCTGGGATGTCCCACTTGTGTCTTACTACAGCCTTGTTGGTCCCGCAGGACATGACCAGACCCTCCCTGGGGTTCCACAGCAGACAACCCCAGCTCCTGTCCTCTCCTATCTTATTGATGGCCATCCGCTGGGGCCATCGCTGTGGTCCTCAAGTTGACTTTTGCAAAGTTGTACAAACCCAAGAAGAGACAACTGTAGACTAACAAGCCCTCCAGACCTGGTGGCTCCTCCAGAAGCCCCTCCTGCTTCTGCCCCTCACTCTTCTCCTCTTGCCTCACTATAGACTAGAAGACACACGCCTGAGTGCTGCAGCCGAGTCAGCACCTGAGACACACACAGAAGTGTACCTCTGGGAGCATCCTGCTGTCCTCGAGGACTCACTCCTACCTTCCTCCACTTCTTGTCTGCTGGTTACGGGCTACGATAGTGCAGCCACCCCATGCCCATGAGAGAAAATCCACGGCACCACAAAGGTACCGTCCTGACACAGCTGAGCCAAAGCTGTGAAGACCCCATCATCTCACTGTCATCAGAAAACTCCTATGTGTTAAACCCCGCAGTCACTTTTCAGTTATGTGCAGCCAACTGCAAGCCTGTCTGCTTACATGTGTGATCATAAGCAGGTATTTGAAGGCTATTTTTCACACAAGGAACCAAAGTACAAAGAAGTTATGTGACTTGCCCAACATGGCATGAGTGGGAGAACCGGCACGGACTCTCCAGCCCAGCCTCTTCCCCATCTGCTTCCCCTTCCACATTCCAATGTCTGTTGAGTGACTAAGCCATCTTCTGTATGATTCTTTTAGAGGAGGAGAAGGTCTGTATCCTCCTCAGGTGGAGTCCCTGATCACTCTCCATCTAAAGGAAGATTCCCTGGCTAGCGGCTACTGAACTTCTCCCTGGATCTCTCCAGTGGCTCATCAGGCTCAGATCTGGGTCAACAGGCAGATCCTCTGGGGACACCTGCAGCCCTTCCCTCCACACCTGCTCATGGTGCTGCTTTACTCACACCTCCCATCCACGCAAAATAAAGCAATCAGTGGCACAAATATTTTATCTAGTTTGCCGCACACTTATTTTCTTTGAGGTGAATGGATCAATGTAGCCCAGAGAGCATGGAGCAGAATTTCTCGTTGAATTGACATCAGGAATACTTGCTCCAGCTTGGAAAATCTAATGGAGCTACACTGTGGCTGATGCTGACGCATGGAGCAGGGTGGCGCAGATCGCACCACTCCCAGGGGCAGTGGACAGATGTGCAGACAGAGTGAGGCTGGCATTCACGACTCAGGAGCAAGGCTGGCTAGGTGACCTTCATGCAAGACTAAAAAGTGGGACTAATAATACCCACTTCATTTCAATGTTAATAAGTTAAATGAACAAAGCTACTGGGTGGAGAGTACACAGCACAGAGCTGGCACATGGTGCCCAAGGTGAAGTGATCCTGCCATTACTGCTGTCCTTACTACCATCATCATCGTTGTCCTCACCACACTCTATGTACTTCTCCACTGGGGGCGATGATAGGGTGCCTGGATTCTCCAGGATGACTCAAAGTTTGTGTGTAGAACCTGACGCACTATAAGTACGCCCTCTCCAGAGCACATGTTCTCATTTGGGGTTCAGAGAATGTGGCCACGGAAGACTGAGGCCTATAGAAAAGACACTGATCACCCACACACAGGCAGGCAGATATTGCCTTCTCTGTGAAATGGAACAATAAGATCCTACCAGGCTTCCATGAAGAGCAGCAAAAAGCTGTTTTGAAGAGCCATTTGCATATAGGTTAATAATTACCATTTCAATTTTGCCAATCATATTAATAACCATATGCCAACCAATCTTCTTGCTGCTCTAGCACAGTGTCAACACCTTGGGCCTCTCCTCTTCCCTGGCAGGTCACATGTCCTGAGAAAAGCCTGGAGTGGAGAGGCACATCCTGCCAACAGGCCTGGCAAGGAAAGGGGCTGAGGAGACACAGCAGAGAAGCCAAGGACCTTATGCAAAAAGACGAAGCTAAACTGTCTTGTGGACTAACGGTAGCAAGGCTCTCACAGAGCAGGGACATCACCTGAGAAGGCCGGGCGGGTGGTCATGGCAGAATGAACCCCAGTGCACAGCCCAGTCTTGATTTCCTTCTTTAACAAGCTACTCTTACCAGTTCCTCATTTTGGCAGACTCAGCCCAGCAAGGCCCCTGATCAGACACAACATGTCTTGCTCCAGGCCATGCCTAGCCTGGTGGTCTCTCAAGTACCACCAACTCACTGTGTCCCCAACAGAAGTCACCCAACTCTCCCCCTAACCTATGCTTCCCCCTCACCCAAGTCCTGAAAATGTCAATCCCCTTAACACGCCGGTCTCTTGCACTCAACAGTGTAAGCCTCACTTGAAAGTTGTAGAATATTTTTTCTCCCTGCCCACCTTATCTTCTGTCTTAGTCACTTTCTCATCTCTGGGACAGAATACCTAACACCTATCCCTCAAAGGAAGAGAGGTTTATTTTGGTTCGTAGTTTCGGTCCATAGTCTGGTGACTTCGTGGCAGAAACAGCATGGTGGAAAGGTCTGGCAGAGGAAACTGCTCAATCCATGGCGGCAAGAGAAGGGAGGAGCTAGGGATGAGAATGTACTCTCTCAAGTCACGCCCCCCAGTGACCCACCTCCCACCAGACTTCACCTCCTAACAGCACCTTCAGGTCCTACACTAATCAATGGATGAATCCACAGAAAAGTATAGCACCCCATGATCTAGCCACCTTCCAAGCCAGTGAGACTCTGGGGACAATTCAGAGCTACAATATCTCCCAACCCTAACACCCATCCCTGAGTTTATTTAATGGCCTCCTGCCTTCTTCCCCTTGTATCTCCTCTTCAATCCATGTTACACTAGATTATCTTTCTTAAGATGCAAACTAAAAACACCTTTTCAGGTACATGTAAACACACACAGACACACACAGACACACAAGCACACATACATACGCAAAATGGTCTCATTTCACCTGCACATTGAGTTTATGCAATTCAGCTCCATGCACCCAGAAGGAGCCAAGGGAGCAACTGTTGTTAAGATGCTGTCCCCGCTTCACTGTGCTGTGACCCCCATCCTCTCAGAGCAGCACCTCTTGTGGTGCTCACGGGGTGTGTGAAGAGTTTCCAGAGGTCACCTTTTGCTGCTTAATGTACTGATAGGGAAGACTTTAATAGCAAAAACCTAGAAAATGTCACAGTGTAAGATAACTTCAGCCCTTCGCTGTTTAGTTCAGCACCGGAGGCATCTAGTCTCCCTCAAAAGTTTGGTAAGTGAAAAGAACCACTGTTAGCTTTGTTGACCAAACAGGCTCCCTTCCCCCTGGCTAGAATAGAAAACTGAATAAATCTTAAAGGTAACTTCCCCTAACAAAGAACGGCCTCCAGGTTGAAATTCACTGCCTGGACACCATGTTTTGGGTATCAGCAATGTGAACTATGAAAAGGCAATGTAACCAACTGAATAAGATCAAGGCTGTAAAACCCTATAAAAGAAGGAGTTGTAACCCAGTGAGGGAGTCGATCAGGGCACCGCCATTAGGTGTCATCAATCCCCATGCATGGAGTAAACTTTTTCATTTTACTTCCATTCTGCTGCCTTTCTGTGTGTCACTTGCCAATTCCTTCCCTAACAGCACTGACTCTAGAAGCAACTTTACTATATAATTTAAATGAAATCCAACAAAGTGTAGGATTTTTTCCCCAGAATGCTGGGACAATGAGTGATTTCTTTTCCTATTTTCTTTTTTTTTTTTTTTTGTTATTCTGTTTTTGCATTCACAAACATACTCATATTTTCTGAAAGCCATTTGAACTTTCTTTCTTAAATACTGTTCTCCCAAGCCTTCTAGGCTCCCACCACTCACCCCGAAAAGTACAGAGCATTCAGTGCCCTCCCAGGGCTCGTTGGTCCCTCTCTCTACAGCTCAGGAGAACAGGGATGTTGCCCTTCCTGGATCCCAGATCACTTCCAGTGTATGCGGCCCCCTTCCACCTGGAACAGCTTCCCTTCTCCTCCCTGCCTATCTAGATCCCACCTGTACATCAACATACATGGCAATGTCACCTCCTTCCTCAGGTTCCCAAACCACCCCCTGACCCTCACTGTGTCTCATCATGTGACAACCTCACTTGTCACTTGTCACACCCACCTTCTTTCAAAGAACAGGTACAGTTGGCCCAGACCCCATTTATTCCTCTGTCGTATCCCCTGCAATATCTGGCTTTGCACTAGCAGGTGCACAAATAATGGAGGAAGTGAAACGGGTTGAATCAGATTGACCCAAATAGGACAACCTTGAACTGGGCTGGCTTGGCTTGATTCAATTATTTAAGTCAAACTTTTGTAGTCTCAGCATTCAGGACACAGGCTCTTGGTCTGTTTTTTGTTGTTTTGTTCAGTTGGCCATTTGGTTTTCTGGCTAGTTGCTCCGGGTTATTCTATAACTACCCCTCTAGCCATTTGGCTTGAAGAAAACTGGCTTTAGACAATTTGGTCTCTGTGAAGTGACTTCAGAGGAGTTGCTTTTCTGTGAATCGCAGATGGTAAACAGTGACAACAGGCACCTGCTGAAGATCAGGGGAAGCTCAATCTCCAGCGCTTCATGGATACCATGGCTGTGCTGCTTGATGACAGCTGGGATAAACCAGAGTCCTTCACCCCTGAAGAACTGTTTTACGCGAGGTGTCCCTAACCAAGAAACAAGGAGACTATGGGCCCCACCTACAGCTTCTGTCCTGAATTTTTGGACTCACTCAGCAGCTGGGCAGAAGGGGATGTCTGCTGCCCTGGCCCCTGCTCACCCCCAGCCCAGAACAAAAGTTTGACTAAAGCTCAGTGTCTTTCCTTTTTATAAATCTCTGTCTTTTAATGATGGCTTCAAGGCTGAGGGGAAAAAGGACCATTAAACTCACTGAATAAGTTAATGGGGCAGAGAGAATCTATTTCAGAGCCACCCCAGGCTATTTTCCTCTGCAGCTAAAGCCTGAATAAGCAAAAAGAAAAAATTAAAACCAGAGAGCCTATTGCCAATAAATAATCCCCAGTGTAATCTCTCAGCATCCACGACTTCATTTGCAGGGATACTGTAATACACACTGATTGCAAAACACCCCCCACCCACACACATTTCTACCTGCATTGGCAACTGGGGGTCTCATTCATCCTCTGGGAGACCCTTCTCTTTCCTGGGTGCTGTTGCTGGACACAACTCAGTGGGCTGCTGCGATCCAGTTACTATGCAGCCTGCAGGTCTCTAAACATTGGGACAGAAGCTGCTCCCATAGAAGTTAGCCCACAGGAGCTAAACTGAACATGCTCATAAGAGCACACCCCAAGACGCTCTGGTCCCCAGGCTGTAGAGATGCCCCCAAGGTCTTCTCAGTTGTCACTAGCCCTCTTAATTCACCTTTGGTACCGCTGTTCTGAAACAGCAAAACTCTCCTCTCTCTGTACTCAGTGAACACATGCAGCAGCAGCTTGGTATCTTTTGCCTGGACAGCTCCCTGCCTAGCCCACCCCCTGCTCCTCCTCCCTGCTTAGTCCTAGAAGAACCGTACTCCACAGCCTCCCCACAATAAAGCCAGAAACTCGAGTCTCTGGGGCAGGGAAAACACAAATAATTAAATAAGCCCGAAACTCCTGGCGGTAAATGTTGAGTCCCACTAGACACACGTTGTTTACTCTTTAATATTTAAACATGTTAATTAAATCTCTGAATAAACAAATATATTTTAGCAAGTAGCATTCCTGAGCTGGAGCTCCGTCACCTGGACCCTAGGAGCCTTCCAGAGGGGCCAGGCCTCCTTCGCTGGCCACAGATGTGTTGGCAAACCAGGTGGAGAATCATGGCTTGGCTGGTACCACCCGAATGCAGCCACGCCTGCCCTTTTTGGGACCCCAGGCCACCTGAACAACCTTGACCTCTAAAAGGTTCCCACAAGCCTAGCAGCCCCAGCAGGAACTCCATTCACTCATTCATTCTGTATCAATCCAGCAGTTACTTAGCCAACCTCATGCTAAACACTGGAGAGGCAAAGATAAATAGCACAATAATCCCAC